TTCCTCCGGGCTCGCGTGTTTTCGTCCCTCAGCGCGTTACCCCTTCAGCCTCCGGGCGCGTACCGAGCGCGGCAGTGCTGAGCGGCACCTTTTCCTTAGGGGCTGTGCATTTCAGGTGAGACCTGCCGAGAGGGAACATGCCCGGTAAAGCCCGCGGGCGGGGTCGGTAGGAGCGGGGTCAGGAGAGGGCATCGCGTGCTGAACATGGAGGAGGATGGAGAGGAAGACTACATGTCCGATTTATTTATTAAGTAAGTAGCTGGCTCTTTTTTTCCCTAGTGTGTGAACAAAGCCGTTTTCTGATTTTTAAGTTACCTCCAGTAATTATTCCACACCCTCGTAAGTGACTGTAAGCATGTAAAAAAAAAAAAAAAGTGCTAATATTTGCTGGAATTATTAATTCTTAGACAGGATGTAAGGCCAGGCTTGCCCATGGTGAGGCGGATGAAGGAAGCTATTCACAAGGAAGAAAAGCAAAAAGAAGCCAATGAGAAGAACAGACAGAAGAGTATAAAAGAAGAAGAAAAAGAGAGACGTGACTTGGTATTGAAAAGCGCTTTGGGCAATGAGAACAAAGGCTTTGCTTTGCTCCAGAAGATGGGCTACAAAAGCGGCCAGGCCCTTGGCAAAAGTGGTAAGCCTGTCACTGTCTGGAAGTGTGCGGCTATATTCGGGGTTCCTTTATATTTTACAGGCTGTAGCTGCCACTTCATTTGTAGTCAGGGTCAATAAATAGTTCTGAGAGAGCCCTGGCATTACTGAACTGTGAACATGTCTTGGTAGAACAAAAGATGAGAGCAAATCTGTAAAAACTGAAATAAAAATGGTACAGGCTATCGAGACATGTGAGGGAAGCAGCGATACTTGCTGCTCAGTAAATGCACTTCCATATGTGCATGTCTACAAGAATTGCATTAGGATGTTTTGATGGTCTTGGAAAGCTAATTAGTGTTCCAAAAAAAGTCAACCCATCTCTTTGAATTTATAGTTGGATTCTGAAGAAGAAATTGTGCACACTGGCCTACCCCTATGAAGCCTTAGTAGATGAAGTAAAATCAGTAAAACTGATCAATAACTGCTGTACCAGTTTAGCATGTCTCTAGCAGACAATTGGCAAATGAACTGGCCCAGACAGATTCTTTATGCTCTTCATCTTTGCCAAGTTGCGAGATTCTAGAATGAAAAAATGTTAGAGGGCTGCAACAAAGCAGTCTTCATCACAGGTATGTTATATCTGTCAGGTCAACACCATTTTCTTTCACCTGGGTAGTGACCTGAAAAAATTTTATAGCAATCCAACAGACAAGCCAAAAAAGAGAGGAAGTTCCAGTTCAGCTGGGTCATTTGTAATGCACTAAATGTACATTGATTTGGGATTTTTTGAACTTGCAAGCAACAAAATCACAAGAAAATGTACATATTTAAGGGCAAAAGTAGCTTGTCTACTTGAGCATACTGCACAAATCATAGTTTGAGAAAGATGTGTTTTCTTAAATTGACCTGTTTTTTCCTTCACAGGAGAAGGCATTGTTGAACCTATTCCTCTGCACATAAAAACAGGTTTGTGATACTTCCTAATTTACTTAGTTGGGCATCAGAGCTTCTCAGCTGCTTATGTTCATCTTTTGAACTTATGTAGGCAGAAGTGGGCTTGGTCACGAGGAGTTAAAAAAGCGAAAAGCTGAAGAAAAACTGGAAAACTATAGACAAAAACTCCATATGAAAAAACAAGCAAATGAACAAGCTGCAGATCAGTTCAGGTAATATTATGTAACTGACATTCTAAGCAATGTCTAAACAATGCTTTTTATGCTTTAAGTTTGGTTATTCTTTTAATGTGTTGCTATTTCTGCATGTTTTGAATGGGAGGCAAGAGGTGAAATACAGAGTAATTGTTTTTCAGTTCTAAAGCAAAAGCAGAGGAACACTGTGATGCTAAAAGTATGTGCTGCATCATTTATTTTTGTAAATGTTAATAATATTAACAATATACATACTGACTTTTCTGAAGTCACTTGCCACTTTTTAAATCAGAGAACCATGTCATCTTTTTAAATATAAAATCCACGGGCAATCCTGAGCAATGTTGCTACAATGGTTTTAAAAATTGGGGTAAATTTGTTTAGGTTTTATTGGTTTTATTTTCTCCTGAATTGCTTGTTATATGTGGAGAAGGAAAGCCTAGTGAAGGCTGTATCTTTTGTAGATGTTTAGTGAACCAGATTTTTCATGTTTTGTGCAGACATGGTGACGAAACAGTGTTCAGTGTGGTGTGATCAAAAGAGCACTATCTTGAAGGTATAATTCCCAAGAAACACATGTGCTCCCACAGAAACAGTGTCAGAAGGACTTCTTAACTTCAGTGTTGTCCTGGTCTGAAAGAATTAGTAGGGCTAAAATCTTAGATTTTCTGGTTTAGAAAAGCTATCAACTATAATGCGTCTCGCTGTCTACCTGCTTATTTTAGCTGTATACTTTTTCTTAACAGAATAAGATTCAAAAACAAACAAGAAGAACGTAAGATGGAAGGGGACCTCCGAAAAAGCCAGAGGGCCTGCCAGCAATTAGACATGCAAAAAGTGAGACCTATTTTTTTGGGGTAGGAAGGAAGGTTTATAGGTTAGAGATACAGGCTACAAACAAAGGAGTGACTCAATTCTTGGAAGTTCTCTAAAATTGTGGGATAACTAGCCTGAAGTCTTGATGTTTGGCAACACTTCAGTCCTCTTAAAATATTTAAAAGTGTATGTTTGCACCATTAAGATACGTGAAGGTGTACACCAACCTCATGGTAACGTATATGAGGACCGGTGCTAATTGGCATCATCAGAGCTCACCTGTTTTTGCCTCTGCATTCTTGGGGTTACTTTTGAGCTGTTGGCATATCCTTCAGTAGCCAATGTCAGGCTGTCCTAAATGATGGTGCTGTTTGCCTCAAGTGAGAAAGCATCATCATCACAGAATGGTTGATGTTGGAAGGGACTCTGGAGTTCATCTTGTTCAACCCTCCTGCTCAAGCAGGGTCACCTAAAGCATGTTGTCCAGCACCATGTCCAGACAGCTCTTAAGTATCTCCATGGATAGGCATCATCATTGAGGGAATCACCAGATTAACCAAAGAAGCATTTAAACAAAAAACAAACTCAAAAACAAAGTACCTTCCACTTGCACCGAATAACACGGGTAATAGCAGTGAACTACTATAAATTTTTGTCTTGAAATCTTCAAGTATTTTTCTTTTCTCTGTTAAACCTGTCAGAAGTTAACACTGCCACACAAGTTCTGCTGAGATTGTTGGGAGACTCCTTAGTCTGCTTCAAATTAAGTCAGCTGAATTAGCTTAGTCCTCTTTGTTGTCTCTTTATTCTTTAACTTTACCTGTGGTGGATTAGGGAGACTGTGTGATCTCTTGATAAAATACCTTGGGGCAGCATGTCTTCAACTGATAAGAAAGGGTATCTGTTCACAGCCTTGGTGTGAGATGATGGTGCTGCATAGCCTTATACATACTGAAAGTAGATGGACTAGAAGTTAATGTTAGCATGCATATACTTGTTTTTAAAAAAGCAAAAAATCCTTCTCATGGACAGCTGTACTTATTTTCCCACTGCAGCTTTAGTAATTCTTGGTTTTACTATACAGGAAAGTTTTAAAACCTAACATCTCACCTATTATAAATTGTTTTTATTCTGCATCTTAAAAGAAAACCTACAAAGGCTGTTAATTTTCATTTAAGTCCTTCATTATTTAAGGATATCGATGCTCCCAAGGAGACCTGGTATTGGCTAGAACCTGAAGAGGAAGACAAAAAGGATGAGAAGGACAAGGAAGATGAATGCACAAGCTCAGACTTAAGTGTAAGCTCTGCAACTAAATTAATGGCTTGATTTAGAATTAAATTTAATATTCCTTTAAAAAGTATGTATGTATATGCGCATACATGTATAAAGGATATATGCATACATGTAATTTTCCAAGCTGTAGTGAATGGTGTCTTTGCAATCACAGCCATGATTTTTATAGCAGTTACATGATAAAATAGAAAACATTAAACCACTGATTTATTGCGCACCTGTTTTGAAGCTGATCTTTGGAAAAAGTAGCCTAGAAATTAAATTCTAAACATTTTTGTGTTGTAGCCAAGATACACAAGATCATGTGTTTGATTAAAGTTATTTGCTTTTGAGTTTTAAGTTTGGATGCCTCATCTTGTGTCTTAGGCTGAATTTGACTCGCTAAGAAATTTCTGAAAATGCTTCACAGAATAACTGAAGATGGACACTGGAAATTAGCTGTTGTTGGCCTTATGTGTTTGATACACAGAGATTAGGTGTGAAAAATTCCACCAAAAATATCATATACTTGAAATAAGGTAGCTAGGTAATATTTTTAGCTCTCTCTTCAGTGCAGGTTTCTTAGCTGGAAAGAAGGATGAGCAAACAATAGCCATTAACTTTCCAGAGTTCATGAATTCCTGTGCTGTGTGCTACAAATCTGGGAAATGCCATCCCTTACTGAGCTACAGTACTGTGCAGCTTTTCCATAGCAAAAGGTTAAACAATCTCTTTTAGCAAAGCAGATCAAACTGTTTGATGTCCTGTGAGCCCCAGATCATTGCATACCTGTAATTATCTCTAGGTATCAGAAAAGCTACACATCCTGACTGCCTATTTGAGAGAAGAACACTTCTATTGCATTTGGTGTGGAACAACCTATGAAGGTGAGAGTTGTCTTGTGTTTTACTTTGCTTATGCAGTTTGGCTCAAATAATACAATACAACCTTTATGTTCCTCTTACTGCAGTCTTTTAAATCTGCATAGCAAATTTTCCTTCCAGGCTGCTGGTTTTTGCACAAAGCTTTGTACATTTTGATTATAAGCCAATTTTTAGGTGTTTACATTCACCAAAAAAAAACCCCAACCAACAATATTGGCACTTATTTGTATTTTGTTTTGAGAAAACAAAATTCACGTATTAAAACTAGTACCATAAAAAGATGCAGAAGCTTGCAAGTGTTTCTGAAACAGTAGAATACTATCCAGTTTCATGGCACCAAAGACTCTGTGTTCACCGTTTTAAAACAAACTTTGGAATTAATAACTTGCAAACCTTGCTGAATTCTATTTAGTCTGCTTTACATTGATTCTTCAACTAATCCTAGCAACTTCCCCCTGCCCCTGAGCTGGAGTTACTTTTTCTTTGCTTATCCTGTAGACTCTGAAGATTTGTCTTCAAACTGCCCTGGAGACAGTGCTGCAGACCATGACTAAAGCCTTTCTAAAGGGAGCAGTCCTAGGTAAGTACTTACAGCTCATAATATCTTTTAGAAGGTTTGGAGCTGTACCATACTGAAGAACTCACACCAAAGTTTGCAGAAGAATAGTTAAATAGTTAAACAGGTTAAACTCACAGTTCTGAAGCATCTTACAGATTTTCTGCTTGATGCACAATTTAGTAGGAATTAAAACGTTGCATTTATAATTGAACTACTATAATGGAGAGGCAGGTTAAGTCTTCTACAGTCCTGTATGTGCCCTGCACAACTGAACAAGATAAGCTAATAATAAAATCCAGGTTGAGTAAGGGAATAAATACTGGTTATTTACTCTATTGTATAAAGTGATAAACAGTTTTTTTCATCTTTGCAGACATGATTAAGCATCAGACTTTTTTTTTCCTTACTATCTTAGACCTAGTGGGAAAAAAAAAAAGGCTTGTGAAACATTACAGTGATGTTATTTGAGTCTATATTCTGTTGTATGTAAAGGTGCATATTTTGCATAACTAAATAGTACCAGATTGGGTTGTTGGTTGATTTTTTTTTATAGAAAATACATTTTAATAGACCTTTTATTTTTAGGGAACAGCAGTTGCTACTGTAAACAGTCACTAATAAAAAAGTACTGCTGAACTATACAAATACTACCAAAAAAAGTCTCAAAAACTACTGGGACAAGCTCAATATTATTTGACAGTAATAAGGTAATGGTATTATGGGTGCTCTGTCAAAGAACTGTAAAGGATATTCAGCCAAAGTTTGTCATATGTCAATTTCTGTATTATAAGAGTAGTTTTCTGGGTGAAAGGGAAGAGGAAGTGGAACTAGGGGTATTTTATCTGTGTCAGGATATCATTTCTCCCAGGTCTTGACTGCTGCAAAGAAATACTAATTAGTCCAGAGCAGTGAAATACTCCTATGTATTTGTGATTGACAATAAGGAGAAAAAAACAACTTCAGACTTTACAAAAGGGTGTAAAATCAGATTCTTACTTAGCAACAAATACTTGACCAGCAATGACTTCTATAAGAATGTAAAAATTACATTTAAATTATTCCTTTTAACCAAACACCTGCTTTTAACCTGTTTAACATTTCAGAAAAAGCATGCAGTGCTTTATTTCATGTAATACGTATTTTTCTGCTCAGAAATATGTTCATTTGCCTTTATGGAGTTATGTGGGCTCCACAGCAATGAATAGTTTGACAAGATACAGCTCAAAAACAAGCATCTCAAGGACTAACTTTCCTGTCTTTTCTCCCTGCTTCCCACCACCACACACACAATTCTTCCAGTCCAGACAAGTCTGAATTCTTTGAGGTATAAAACTAAAGAGTAACAGGCAAACTGCTGTTGCCTTTTTTGGGGCTGACAGTAAAGCCATCAGGGTTATTCAGTCCACTCATTAAGGGTAAGGCATGCTTCAGTATTACAATGAGGGATTAAAATCTAGTAGTATGGGAGAGAATGTTTAAGGTGCTCTCTCAGCACAGGATTTAAAATTATTACTACTGAGGAAACCGGAGAATTTTCCTATATTAAGAGCACCAACTGTGTCCTGGGCTGCATTAAGAAGTGTGGCCAGCAGGTCAAGGGAGATGATTTTTCCCCCTCTACTCTGCTCTTGTGTGACCCCACCTGGAGTACTGCATCCAGTTCTGGGGCCTCCAACATAAGAATGACAGGGACCTGCTGGAGCAAGTCCAGAAGGGGGCCATGATGATCAGAGGGCTGGAGCACCTCTTCTGTGAGGACAGACAGAGAGTTGGGGCTGTTCAGCCTGGAGAAGAGAAGGCTCCAGGGAGATCTTATAGTGGCCTTCTAGTACCTGGGCAGGTAATGATAGGACAAGGGGTAATGGCTTTAAACTGGAAGAGGGCAGGTTTAGATTAGATATGAAGAAGAAATTATTTCCTGTGAGGGTGGTCAGACACTGGAACAGGTTGCCCAGAGAAGTAGTGGATGCCCCCTCCCTGGAAGTGTTTAAGGCCAGGTTGGATGAGGCTTTGAGCAACCTGGTCTAGTGGAAGGTGTCCCTGCTCATGGCAGGGTGGTTGGAACTAGATGATCTTTAAGGTCCCTTCCAACC